AAAACTAATTTTCTTATTTAAAGCTATCTCTAACGCCTCCTTGCTGGATGCTAATACTGCTATATCATCTGCAAATTTAAGCATACTAATCTTTTTCTTTCGTATATCTATCCCTACAGTTGTACTGTCTGTAATGATATTGATCGCGTCTTCGATGTATAGATTAAAAAGTAGCGGTGACAGTGTGCATCCCTGTCTGACTCCCTTTCTAATATTTACTTCTCTACGTAATTAATTTTAAGTAAAACAAAATTAAAACATATTTCATTAGCGTTACATAACATGTACAATATTATCTCCATTTTTATAATTTTTTTATTGTAAGTAAACTACATTTTGATACGTAAGGCTTTGTTCAATTTAGATCAGAATATTTCTGAACAAGTACTCTAAGTTACTTTGGCTAATAACACACTAATTGCTAGCTTCTAAAACAACAGGATCCCTTTAAAAACACATCAGCGGGATAAATGACTAAATGACCATTTAGAATGGGTGCAGTGAGTCAGCATTGCGGGCAGATGGTTCGGGAAAGCATTAAGCACGCACGAAACTATACCATCCATGTAGCACCGACCTATTTATGTAAATAAAACGATACTTATCCGTTTATCTGTTAAATCTATCGAACTTGTTGTCCATGTGTTGCAACATTAGAAGAATATTTGTTGAAGACGTCCTTCAGTTTTTTTTTTTTTTTGAACTATTATCCCTATCCAGCAACCAAATCTTCTGACGCTTTTTTCATTTTTCCAATTAACCGTTAGCGACTACAGAACTGATTCCACATAATTAATAGTAAAAATAATTTCAAATTTGGAACCAATGCAAAATTTATAAATTCTACTACTTAAAACCATTAAATGGAAAAACAGTTGGGTACCTAAAAATGGAGAAGATCTGGTTTCAGATGATTAAAATTTATTAAAAAAATGGAGAGAAACGTGCTGATTGTCACAGCAAGTTGTAAAATTAATAAACAAGACATTCTTTTGGAATAATGATTGTCATGTAATGAATATTTTCCTCACATTTTATCTTGATTAAAAAGAATTTCATTTAATTACCACTAGCAATAATTAAAAGTAAAAAATAAAGAATTGACACTAGGATTTCCATTGGGTTCAGGAATTGAAGTTCCAATGGAACGCAAGGGAAATCTCATTGTGTTCAATAATGGAAGTCCCATTGAGTTCAAGAATTCTAGTGGAAATTTCATTCATCCCATTGGATATTCTTCATTTATTACCATTAATTATTATCAGTGGTATCTACCCACTCGAGGAGAGGTTTTAGATGGTAAAAATCTGACACTACCTCCCTTCAGGAGGTGTCTTTTGAAGATTTCCCCTCCTTGAGGATAATCTAAACAAAAAACAAGTAATTCGTAGGCTTTCACGACCCGTATCTAATTGGCGATGAAGAGTTTCTTGGGACGATTTTTGATTGTAGACGTTTCGCCATGCTTAATAGATGACATCTTCAGTGCTTCACGATATACGATCGGTGGCTGAATGGTTAATGTGAGATCTTAAGCGTTCTTTTATATTAGTCTCGCGGTCACGGTATTTCATTTCAGGAATGTTCTGCTAAAGCGGATTTGTCTGGTTGGTGTAACCGCAAATGTCTTTCGTGTTCCTTTTTCCTTGTTGCGATCGTGCGTTTCGTCATGCCTACGTATACCATGGAATAATCTCCGCAAAGAATCCTGGTGTATGTAGCGGGTTTAGTTGGTCTTTGGGGTTTCGTAGTAATTTAGAGATCCGATCCGTTACGTTATGAAAATTTGGTAAAGTTGTCATGATCATAGTTGACTGCTCCTTGTTGTTCACTGTTCTTGGTTCCCGACGTGGTCTTATTGCTTGTTCGATGTCCTTTCGAGTGTAGCCGTTAGCTAACAGTACAATTCGTAGATATTCAAGTTCTTCTTGACGATGTTTATCATCAGCTAACGTAAAAGCTCGATGGATTAACGTTTTGATCACGGCGCGCTTCCATGCGAGATGGTGGTGGGAAGTATTCTGTAGGTATAGGCCCGACTACGTCTTTTTCCTGTACATCTACTCCTGCTTAAAATTCTAGACGATATTCTTTTAAGAAAGGTAAGGTGTAATCTTTCTCCTCTTCCATTGTGAAGTTGATATTGTTGAGGTGTTTTAAGAATTGTTGTAGATGTTCCCTTCCGTGCTGCCAAATGATAAACGTGTCTAAGTCATAACTTGGGTTTCTTGGGAGCTTTGCGTAGTGCTTCTTTTTTGAAATTTTCCATAAAGAAGTTCCCAAGAACTGGACTGAATGGATTCCCCATTGCCACACCATCTTCCTGCTAGTATAATTGTCCGTTCCACAGCAAGTAATTTGAAGTTTGAAGGCAATGTCTGAATAAAGCGACTATTTTTTGTGTGAAATAGCTCTCCAACAGCTGGAGTGTGTACTCGACCGAAAGTGATTCCACATCGAAGGCTTCGTCAGACTTGTCAGACTGGCCAGGTACTGTGCTAGTTTATATGTCGGGCTTCCGATAGATTTGATGATTGGACGAAGGGGTGTGTCGTTCTTATGGATCTTGGGACGATCTTAGAGCCGTGGAAGTTTACTGTCTGAAGGTGTAAATTGCTTAATAAGCTTGTGCTTCCAGTTGGCCTTCTTAGGTA